AAAGATTGGGTTGAACATTTATTAATGTTTACACTCTTTTTAAGTCTTTTAATGGTCCTCTTCTCCATCATCGTAACAGGGCAGAGTAAGTTGCACGGGCAGGCTGATGGTTCAAGCTGTAAATCAAAGAGGCCGCAGTCCTTGGTCACCTTCTGGTCAGCCTCACATGAGAAGGTACCTTTTTCTCTTTTCTTTTAATAATATGTTTTGCAAAATTATTACGGAAAAATAAAGAATGTGAAGTTAGAAGGGAAGTTAAAAAAATGGCATTTGGGAATGTGACTGCTGCTGTCTAAAAATTTCTGCAAAGCTTGTGTACTCAGAAGTACAAGCAACCTCTGAAATGACAAGGCTTTAAGTATCATTAATTGTGCCTGCCTCCTCCTCCTATGTTTGCTAATTACTCCTTATCTCAAATTACACTATCAGCTGTTGGGAAGGACCTTGTCACTTAGGCTCTTTTTAAAAGATCTCACCTGGGATTCTACCAGGACCCTGTACTTTCTGCAGCTTTTAACAGGGATTCATTTAAAGGGACAGCAGAAGTAACTGCATGCCAGAGACATTTATTAGATTTCCATTGGAAATATTTTAGTATTTCAGTGATTTCAGTTCAGGTTCTTATAAGGAAATATGAGTCAGAAATAAAGTATTAAACTTATCTTTGGTGAGTTTACAGTTACTCACATATGAAGGTTTGGTTTATGGTTTTGGACCATATAAGGGAACTTTCCTTTAAAATATTTTTTTTTTCCTTACCCAAAGCATTTATGAGGCTATTTAGCGTAGCTTAGAAAGCTTTAGACGATACAAAAAAATTAAATTTTCGTTACCCAAACAGAACTGCTTTCAAGGGAGCATGAGGGCTCCCTCATGGTGAGGGCGGTGTTTTCCTTAACAGTCACAATTGCAATATATAGAACAGAGGTAATTGCACAGTCAATGCGCAATAAAGAAATGATTCCTGTAACAATTAGTAGCGGTAGCAGTATGTACTGCAGAACTGCTGCATGCAAACCAGGCTCTCTTCCCCACTCCGATAATTAGGAAGTGTGAGGAAGCATGGTTGGCTGTTTAAAGGATCAGTCTGATTCCTGCACAGAACCAACCAGGCTTCCCGCAGGCCTGAAGCATTTCCCGATGTGGGCGTCCTACCAAGTCCCCCTCCAACGCCTCCTGGTTAGGCTGGTTAAGCCCCGAGCTCGGGCTGCTTACGGAGCAGAGCATCCTGCTATCGCTGCAGTGGGAGAACAGCCCAAGGAGCTGGGTCCACTTGGCGTACAGCAAATAAGGCTCTTGGCACCTGCAAGTAATGGGTAGAAATGAAAAGGCTCTGTTAGTCCCTGAAGGGAAGAGCTGCCGTGAAGAGTCAGGTTGCAGCTGAATTAGTGCACACAGGGTGAGATAGGGCAGATGTCCTTAAAAACGGGGACGGGAGAAGGGAAGACTGGTACAGGCAAGAGAGTGGTGAGCAGCTGATGCTTCCGTGTCCTTCTGAAAGACAGCGGGCAGAACCCCTGGGTAATAATGGGGAGGCTCATGTTTCAATCTCTCCAAATGCAATCGAAGTCTGAGGTCACTAACAGATGCTATTTTATTTTCTAATTGAGACAAGCACTCAGGCAGCTACTGCTGTTTTGGTTGGGTGTCCAGTAGAGTACTGAATTATAGATAAGAGATTTCCATATAACAGTTTAATTAAAAGTTAGGGCAATGATTGGGGATTCTTATCTCCAGTAAAATTACCATTTGTGAAGGGCTCATCCCGAAATGTTTACTTACGGGAAGGTCTGTTTCTGCTAAGCACTCGGCACAATAGCATTTCTGTTTAGGGACACTTCCCACTGCTCCCATCACCCAGCGCTCCCCGCGACTGATGACATTTGAGCCTGTAAAACCATCCTAAGGCAGGTCCCACCAGCGGCTTTACCCATCTAACGCACCACAATACTGTGCTCCCCATACATAATATAGCATGCGTCACGTATATTGCCATGGACTTTTGATTGATACTCCTGTGGCATTACAATATTATTTCTAAAAGCTTTTCTGCTCGAGAACCTTTTTTTTTTTTTTTTTTTTTTTTTTTTTTTTTTTTTTTTTTTTTTTTTTTTTTTTTTTTTTTTTTTTACACGTGTAATTATTAGCTTAATGAACTTTACGACTGTTACACTGTTGACAGGCTTTTTCCTGAAGTATTTTTAATCACTTGCAGAATGTGTTCTGGCAGAACTCTGTTTTTTGTCATCCTCACCATGTCACAAACATTTTAAAACACTCTTTGTAGTTGTTATTTCATTTTTAATGTGTTTTTCTGAAATTTGCTTAGCTTGCAAACATATTACCTTCTTAGCATTACTTGGGAACTTTTGAACTATCTATCTGATGCGTACAAAGCTTGGGCTTAGTCCTTTAGAGGACACGGTGCTCGATACCATAGCACCTAAGCTGTTCGTGGTGCTCTGCAACCAGAGCCCCAAATAAATAGTCTTAAACTGCAAGAGATTTAAGGAAGGTTTAAGAAATAAATACTCCTATTGCCCTGGCTCTCAGTTAGAGGATTAATTTAAACTTAATCTCCTTTATCCCAAATTAGCAATCATCATCATACAGCCAGTCATAAAGTTCTTCCCCAGCTTTTTGCTCACTGAAATTCCTAGTGTGTTGCGCCACATCAACCCCTGGAGCCTCCCCTGGACGCATTTAGTACACGACGTCAGTATTGCTGCAACTGATCTTTGCAATTTGTTGCCCACATCGCAACTCTTAACGAACCCACTACTAATCCAAGGGTATTCCAGTCTATTGCCATTTGTCATTCCTAGACATCTGAAGTACTTGGCTCTACTCGTTTCATTATTTCTTTAAAACCACAAAACGTTTTAGAGTTAAAACAACCCTAGTTTCACCTCTCATGGTAAAGGCTTAAAAGCAGTCTACAATTTCAGAGGTAAATTTACAAAGAGATAAAAAGAAATGCATTGTTTATTTCTCCAACTAGACTAAACAGCATGCTCATTCAGGTTTCCTTTCAAATGTGTAATTTGAAAACTTAAGTTTTCACGATTCAAGAACGTACCAGCAGCAAAAACCCTCGTTGGTCCCAAACTCCAAACCTTTTCATTTTCCGTTTCATTTGGTATAAATTTCCCCCCCCACCCCGGTTTGGACCGGTGCTGCCTTTTTATGTGTCTAACCAGGGTGCGTGTAAATACTCTGAAGGCAGATTCTGCACGGGCTGCTTGCGCTGCGTAACACTCACGTGACCAGTGTTGCTTATGAGCTGCGGTGCGGGAGCTATTGCAGTAGCTTTAGGCATGTGCAAGTGGCAAAAAAGCTTGGGTGCTTAAGACCTGGATTTAGGCACCTGAAGAGTTGCACAGGCTTTTAGCGTGCGCAAAGATGTCAGCCGGTGTTCCCCATTTCAGTATCCATGCCTATGTGAATAAGCTGCACGAGCTAGATTTCCCCCCTGCCGCACATTTGCCTTTAGCTGTGGGAAGCCTGGGATGATTGTTAAAAAGTCAAAATTTATCTATTAAATGAAAGTAATTAGTAAGTACAGTGTCATAATTAACTCAGCCTGAGCCCAATGCTACCAGTGTACATGTGTAAATATGGAGTGATTATGGTATAGGTCAAAGAAGCGATTTAAAATTCAAAGCAGTCTTATAAGTGATTTTGGTTCTTTTGATTTAGCAGAGGAAAAAAAATAATTCACTTTTATTTCATGTTATTTTAAGACCACGATCTCGATCAAGGGACAGTGGTGATGAAAATGAACCAATTCAGGAACGGTTCTTCCGGCCTCATTTTCTGCAGGCTCCTGGAGACCTGACTGTTCAAGAAGGAAAACTATGCAGAATGGACTGCAAGGCAAGTATCACGCGAAGGAGAGCCGCAACCTTTCTGTAACGTTAGCCGGCTCAAAACCCAAGTTAGGTTCTTTTTAAAGCTATTTTACCTATAGGCAGTTTCAGCAGCTGTCAATAGGTTAATCAATCTCGCCGCTCATGAGCAGGTTGACAGTAGAAGTTTGCCTCCCTTCCAGTGAAAGTGCTTCAGGCAAATCTCGAAGCTCAGAGCAAACTGACTTTTAGAATTTGGCTATGCGGGCGTGTGGGGAAGCGGCACGCACTGTGAGGACGTTGTGCTTCTCCATTTTAAGTCCTTTTAACTGCTTGAGTTTCGATCCCCTATTAAAGTTTCAAACAATATAATCCTGATTTATGACTTCGCCTAACAGGATTAATTGAGGCTTGGGTGACCTCTGTTTACTTTACGCTGACATATTTGGGAGAAGCTATTTGTTTTCAAGCAGTACCCACAGCAAACAGCCCGGTTTTCAAGAGCAGAAGACTTGGTCACACAGACCAAGCATTAACTAGGGCAGGCAGTGCTGTCGCTGGGTTACACCTAAGTGGAATGGAAGGTAGAGCTCGGTAATTAGTCAGCTAACTGCCTGCAATTTTCCACAAGAATTTAATCTAGAAAGGAGTATCTGCTCATTCCATGTGAAGAACAAAGAATGAAAAAAGACAAAAGGTGTCTCCCTGCCTTTTGTTTTGCAGTGTATTGTTATTTAGCTTCTAGCATATCTAAACACTCATCTTTTTTCAGTCACACCCATAAGACATCATGGAATTCAGGGAGTTGGCCAGAAAGTGAGTAAATGAATATAACTGAGCCAACGTGTAATTGGGGACAGAACTAAATCTTTAAACCTTGTGGTACACCTGCAGTAGCAGACAAAACCAAACGTCTCTGAAGCGACAAGTCAGGACTCCTCCGGTGTTTCCTATGGCTAAGACCATTTCCCATTATTCTGTTTCCACTTCAGGTTAGTGGATTACCGACTCCAGATTTAAGCTGGCAGCTTAATGGAAGACCAATTCGTCCCGATAGTTCTCACAAAATGCTGGTGCGTGAGAATGGCGTGCACTCCTTGATCATAGAACCAGTCACAGCCAGAGATGCTGGAATCTACACATGTATTGCTAGCAATCGAGCCGGTGAAAATACATTCAGCCTGGAGCTCGTTGTTGCAGGTAATATCTTGGTGCTGAGCTCCCACGCTGAGCACTGTAAGGATAACATGAAAAAGGGAAATGTAAACACCGTCAAACGAGACGGTTGAGGGGCAGGGGGTGAGAAAAGGAAACCCAGCAGTAGCAGAACAATATGTACATGTTACAGGTGATACATTCACGTTGTATCGTGGCATAAGCTGACGGGCAAGTAACCTCTGTGCACACGGTTAAGAAAAGAGGGCTGCTGCCACACCTGAGGCCACAGACCAGGCTATTTATGGGAACAGGGTTTTTAATGGCAACTTATGCAGACCCAGATCTACCACCAGGTAGCCAGCATGACGCCTTTTGTGCTTCCCAGCCTGGCAGACCAATACCGTTCCAGCCTTCCGGCAGAGCAGTTCCTGCTGGCATTAAAAGCACCTCCCTTTACGAACATGAAGGAGCACTGTAACAAGCATGGTGCAGCCAGTTTATCAAGTCTTGATGCTCCACGTTTCAGTTCTTTCAGGGAGGCGAGGTGGGGGGGAAACCACTCAGCCCAAGTAGCACTCACTTTTTCCCTATTAAAATACTGCTGTGACTGTTTCTGCAGATGAACCAGGATTGGATGTTATGATTAGTGAAGACAACACTTCCGTTCCCTGCCCCTTGGGTTTTTCATTATTAGTTTTTAGTGTATTGCTGCAAGGAAGGCTATGTTTTCACAGACTAGTGTCAGCATGACCGCCGTCTTTATTTTCACAGCTAAGGAAGTACACAAAGCACCTGTGTTTATCGAGAAGCTACAGAACACAGGTGTGACCGAGGGATTCCCAGTGCGACTGGAGTGTCGAATCTCGGGGGAGCCATCACCTCAGATATTTTGGAAGAAAGAGAACGAGTCGCTCACATACAACACCGACCGAGTGAGGTTAGACTGACTTAGAGTAATCTCCCCCTGTGTAACTTCAAGGACGATTTATCCTCTAACACAGACGAAAGCCTAAGAAGGTCTTAAGAATGCTTTGTGTGAACAGCAGCTCATAAATATTAACTAGTTATTGTAATAATTGATGACATTTACTCAAACTTGCAGCCAACCTGGTGGCTGAGCCAGAATTAAAATGTTAGTTCTGTTTTCCATCCTTGGACTTAACCGACTGTCTCTGCACTTTAAGCAGGGGGAGAAGTAGTTTTTCTCTTCTAGAAGTAAGACCTACAGAAATTTACTTGTGAAAACTTCGGCTCCTGAGTGAAGCCATCTGCTTCTCAGCAGAAACCTTGATTCACAACTCTGCTGCGTAGTTAAGCAACAATCTTAGATTCAGTGTGTTTTGTATTCTAAGATCTATAAACTGTCCTAAAATATTTGATCTATAAACTGTCTTAAAATATTTGATAGCATTTTGTATGAATGTTTAAAAGCAAACTCAAGATATCCTGCGATAAAAGGAACTCATTACTGATATGACACTGTAATGAACTATCGTTGTCCTTCTAAATAACTAAGAGTATTTCAGTACTTTGTTCCTCAAGGGTTTTTTATCCTTTCCCCAAAAAGTCCGGGTAAGTTCTGGTGTCCCTACTACTTCAATCAGATTTCCAGATGTCTTAATCTGTAACTGTGAAAGAGAAGTTGCTTTATGCATGTTTGTGTCTTAGTTTTCAACGCAGGATACTAAACTGCCAGATTGTCATGCATACTCAAGGTTTTATTTTCCGCTTACTAATTTCAGAGGAAAGTTCCATGTTAATTAAAAGTGGACTATAATTAATCTGTGACTAGGATTGGGTCTGTTTACATTTCAAAATAGCCTACACTGGTTTGCAATTCAAATAGTCACTTTCTACTTTTCTTTTATTTAGCATGCACCAGGATAACTACGGCTACATTTGCCTGCTTATTCAGGGAGCCACGAAGGAGGACGCCGGCTGGTACACCGTTTCAGCTAAGAACGAGGCCGGGATTGTCTCTTGCACTGCCAGGTTGGATGTTTATAGTAAGTGACTTCCATTCTCCTGATCACGTGAATCCCCTACAAAAGCAACAGTTCTACAATTTTGGTTTTGTTCACAGAATGGTTTACCTTGGTCTCTCTTTCTTTCGTTTATAGTTTGTCCTCAATAGTAACGATCCACATCAAGACAAGAAATGCTCTGTCAAAGTACATTTCACCGTCTTTCAGATACCTAAAGCAAAACAAGCATGTGTGCTTTCTCTTTTTGCTTAGTATTTTAAATGTAGCTAATTAACAACAGATAACAGCATGACTACATCATTTTTGTGGATCATTATTACTATTGCTCTGCTAGCACTCCCCTAACCTTCCGTATCCTTCTGTACGTTAGTTTGTAATACACCTGTGACAGCTACCAGAAGCGTAGCAGATGTTTTTATGGCTTTCCACTTAATTATTCAGTCTGTTCCAATGCAGCCCCTTACACAGCGTATGTTTTCTTACATCAAAATCTCTCACCCGTCTTCTCGTAACCAGAACTACAGGGGTTAGGGAGGGGAGAGGTTGGAAGGATAAGGGATGGTTTCTGGGGGGTGGTAGTAGTGGGACTTGTGAATTAGAGCCTTGGCTCAGCGTTCTTCAGCATACAGGGGTACGGCAATGGCGGCCAGGCGGTTGCCTTGCACGTACAACCACCGACCCGTCAGCAGGCCTGTCACCATAACCTTAACGCACAGAAACAACCCCCTTGCTGTTACCTTTCTCAGTGACACGAGGAAAGGTAGAAACCAATGCCAAAATGGCAAAGGAGCAAACACAGGCACTATTGTTTTTACTTACCATGCTGGAAAGTGAAACTAGATGCTGAGGGAGGGGGGCGGGGGGAACCACCAGGAAATGAAACAAACTTACCTTTGATATAATGGTTTTCTGCTGCCCAGAAATTAGCATCTCCTGTACAGAGGTTGATTGTGTGTCTGGTGCGCTTTGCTGCACAGCTCAGGAGGGCTAACATTTTGCTCTTTGCTTTTTAACCTATAGCTCAGTGGCAACAACCACCTCAGACAACCAAGCCAAAGAAGGTGCGGCCCTCAGCCAGCCGATACGCTGCACTTTGTGACCAAGGACTAGACATCAAAGCAGCCTTCCAGCCGGAAGCAAATCCAGTCCACCTGACAATGCAACCTGGCTTGGTAGAGAGCGATGATCTGTAGATCCAGCGGCTGCTTCCGTCATTTTCTTTCAAAGCAGAAACACTGAAAGCCATTGCCTTGACCAATGATACTCCTATGCCACTTTATGCAAAGGCAGACACCTTCAAGTACAAAAGATAAACAACAAACACCATAACCATATATTCCTTACTCATTATACCAAATTAGAAGAATAGGTAGATTACTAATAGAAATGTACACATTGCACAACAAATCACATTCACCAGTTCCTTATACCTAAGTTGCTTCAGCTCTTACGAATGACCCTTTCCATAAAGGCCGAAATACATCAGAGAGACAGGCTTTTCAGAAGAGAACACTGTTGATCACTACGTGCCTTCATAAGCAGTAAGCAGATGCCACGCAACCTTGACAGTGCAAGATGTTTTCTTTGAGGCCATTAGATGACAAAGAAAATCAGAATGTATGGTTATCTGTAGTTCCAACACGGCAATGCGTTCTGATAGCTGCGATGAACAAGTGCAATACTGTAAGAATAAAACAGGAAGGGACAAGGAAGAGAAACGTAAGCAAATGCTGTATCTCTGCAAACTGCTTTCTGTTCTACAGTGGAAACAGTATCTTGCCTTACATGCTGTTAGGACAGACAATTCTGTAAAGCAACATTGACACCGTAATCTCAACTTCTTTTGTATTTTTCCTTTTTGCCACCTAGGAGGAGGCTTACTTACAAACATACAGCAAAGGCAGTCTGAGCGTAAGCCATTTAACCTCTTCTAGTTAATAAAGAAAAAGAGCTGACGCGCAGTAACAGTCTACTCCAGACTATAAATACCGGCAACCAGAGGGGGGGAAAAGTGCCAGCGGTTTGAACCACTGCAGGGGGTCCTGCGAGGGGTGGGAGGGGGACGGGGCAGGAGGCTGAAACTCTCTGTGGATTTCCTGAACACGGTCTGTAATCTTGTTAATACTCCCACTCGAGAATCTGAAATTCTAAGGTGAGCTGAGAACTAGGGAGCGTATGTATGGGACGTTCGACTGTTTAAAGCTGGTGTAACGTAGGTGAGGATTTTAGAAACGTGTAGTAAGTGAAACATGGTTTGAGACTGCAACATGAATTTAAATGACATGTGTACACCACAGGTGATGAGCTTGCAGATCTGAGGAAGTAGAAGATGAAGATGGACAAAACCAACATGAAATTTGTGCCTTTTGGGTTTTTTTCTTCTTCTTAACATAGCACATGTCTCTGGCAGATTTTTTTTTTTTTTTCTTCTCCTGACTGTAGGCCGATGACAGCTCTTTCAATGGGTAGGATCTGCGCGCCATAGATGAAAAGCCTGAAGGCTGCTTTCAGAACACAAGGCAAATCCACATCAAACTGGAGCCCCGCCTAAGTCAGACCTGACTAGGTAGTTTTAAATTAGAACCAAATGAATTTCAGACGGAGGGGAGGGAGGGAGGGAAGAATTACTAGGCCTGACAAGAAAAGCGAGCATGTGATGGTACGAGCTACGATACTTTGCTATGAAAGGAAAACACTGTATTCCTTATATGAAGCACATATATGGTATCTTTCATTATTTATAATAAAAGTGTTGAAATCTTTTATCTCAGTTCAGTTATTCAGAAGTCCTGTACTTAGGGTTTTTTGTTTTTTTTTTTTTTAATTTTGTAATTGTGTACACCATATATTGCATTACTGCTATACCTGTATTGCTTTGTAAGTACACAAAGTTTGTTTTGTTTTTTAGTGACTAATAAACTTTAGCACATAAGGTAGTACTATTCTGGGGCAGGATATGACCAGTTATGGGGATCGTTAATCTAGATTAACGTCATAGTCTGTCAACTGGGAATGATCCGACTCTATTCTAGAAAAAGTATGTCATATCATTTGCCAAATTTTTCTCAACTGTGACATGCTAATTTACTTTTCTGTTTAGCTTCACTAGCATTATTTTGCCACCTTTTATTTGTATTTATAAAAAAATGTATTATCATTACTTTGGATTGTTGTGCTGATATAATGTGGGTTTAACATCAATAAATATTACACACATAGAAAGTTTTCCTTCTGGTACAGACTCTTAACTGTTTCAGTGGAAGCATGCAAGTGTCAGACGTAGAAACAGTAACTATTATGAGCACCGATGGCAGAAGGGCTACACGCAGTACCTAACAATGGCTAGAATTTATCAGCATATTCCACTTGTGACCCGCAATCTTTTTTAAATGAAACAGAGGAACATGACCCATGAATTCTGAGAAACTTCTGCCAAATCAAAGCACCCCAAGACGCTTTTTTTTAATAGGTTAGAAAAGATGCAGGTCTATATTGTGTGTCTAGTAATTGCAATATGACATCACTTACAACTGATACTAAGTAAAGGGCATAGTCCAAGCGCTGTTAAATTCGTTTAAGAATTGTCTTCTAACAAGTCAATATCAAAATTTAAAAAAATAAAATGTTAAGATTATCTTTGTTAAATCCTGAATATTAACGAGCTTCTCCTTTCGCTGCCTTTCTGTGCAAAGATACCAGGAAAGACGCAAGATGATAAATTTTTTTCTTTTAGGTTTACATTTCACACATTGATCACTACAACCAGAATTATCTCAGCAAGTTAGTGAGTGCTGACGTTAATGGTGATAACTGCAGCTGAAGTCAATGGAGTTCTGTCTGCTTACAGTAAATTTGTCTTTGGCTTAGAGACGAAAAAAACTGAGACTGCTCTGGTGAGCTGGTTTAAGATGAGGTCATCATCACTTTTTGCCTCTGTATATATGTACAGCCACACACTTAAGTAGTAAATCACATCTCTAAGCAGCAAAGTTGTTTTTACGAAAACATTTAGCTGTGCTGTTACTTAGTTACTGGGACTGTTTGGGTTTACAAATTCAGAGATAGATAGAAGCGTGGCACAAGAAAGCAACATACTTTTCAAGCCAAAAATCTGAGATTCTTGGAAGCATCAAAGTAACTTTCAGAAGTTTAATCTCCCTCCACAAACCCCAAAGACAGCTTGCATGACCTGAAAGTGTCATTTTATAGGAGTAAAAAAAAAAAAAAAAAAAGTCCTAACTTTTTGCAAGATTTCCGGTTTAGGTAGGGGGAAGACGTCAGCTGATTTAGGAAGGTGGTCAGTCCTGGGAAGGCTCAGTGCAGCTACCTTCAGGACGATGACAGAAACCTCTCTCGAGAGCACCAACCGTGAGGTGCAAAATGCCACAGGCATGAAGATTTTCTCAGCTGGCGGCGTACCTTACCCTGCAGCTTCACAACCACAGCAACAACTCGTTAATGTACACAATTTTTTTTTTTCCATCACTGCCAACCTGGGGCTGGGGATCAAAACCAGACTGCAGTTCAGTTTGAAGCCCTAGCTTGTAAATCGTAGTTTCTATCTAAATGACCACTTTCAAAGACCATTTTAATTCACTTAGGGTGTATGCTAATAAATGCCTGGATTCCCCACATATGGACGACATCCTTATCTCTGCAAGCAGCCCAACCGGATTTCACATGGAAGTATGTACTTCACGCGATCACATGGCCCATCGTGCCGCAATGCTGAGGGGATCCGTGGCAGGCTCTGGCTGCAGGACCCAGCTGCCAATCCCACACCGTGTAGTATGGTGGGATTAACACACGGACTGGAAATGCCTCCTCGGGTGATGCAGGCTGCCACCAGACCAGGCTCACTGCCTCACAACTCAGCTGTACATGCAAGGGGCAGAATTTGCTGCCCTTTAGCCCACTCTCCTGAACAAGCTAAAAGGGAAAGCCCTCCCCCTGAACAGCTTTTCTGCATGACCAGAACCACGAGCACCTAAGAGCCATCAGGCAGATGGAAACACAGCTCCTGCCCCAAGAAATTTACAATCTGTTCTAGACAGCACACAGTGTTCTTCAACGTGTCACAAAGCTTGCGAGACTAATTCAGCAGTAAACCACAATTTGCACCTTTTTTAAAAAAGTGATTAATACATAAAATACTCTCATACTGCACTGACTCGCCAATAAAAATGTCGGTGTTTGGAACATAACGCTCAACTTGCACTTGGAGCAAAAAAAATCCAGACTACAAGCAACAGTACCTGCACAGCAATGACTTCAGCAGCTCTGCAGAGGAGGAAGATGAATGACCTTCTGCCCAACGGCACCAGGAAGGAGACATTTCTTGCTTTATCCAACAGCTGCAGTGCAACAGGTAAACCCTGGGGAAGGGCCAAGTCTTGCAGCTGCTGTTATGTTCTAGTTCTGTAGTAGCATAAGTGGTCCGGAAACAGCTGCAGAATGAAAAAGGAGAAAAAAAGTAACAGTACGTGGCCACTACTCAGAATGATTACATCATCATTTACGGCAGGCGCTCTACAAATCTCATCACACTAAATGGATTAGGGTTTAGGTTGGTGGGGGTTTTTTGGGGTATTTTTTTTTTTGCCTGAAACGCTTCTGTTAACCACACAACTGAAGATATCATCAAGTTTGGGGGTTTTTTGGCCGACTTTTAGCCCAGACATCACAGAATATTGCTACAGAGGAGCGCGGAGGGTACAAAAATGCATTGGCAAGGACAGGACCTGTCCAAGCTACTGCAAAAGGTGTTGAAAATGCCTTATAAGCTAAAGGCTTCCCATACAGCAGGCAACACACCTCGCCTCTACAGTGGATTAAGAACTAGTGGATTTTGGAGGTGGCTTTTACTTCCAGCGTTTGCCTGAGCAGCTGCTGGAGTCATCTATCGGAAAGGGCCCGTCTAAAAGAAAACCTGTTTTGCGGCACTATTCTATAGTATAATGCACAATTCTGTTTCTTATTAGCATAGTAACTCAACTTCCTCCTGTAATACTTCAGAATCAGATTCACTGAACATTTTTGTAATACACTGCTAAGCTACAATAGAAGTTTTGCCTTTCTTAAATGCTGTATTTACTTCAGCTGTACAGTCTCAGATCATTTACTAATTCATGTTTAAAAATGTATAATAAACAAAACTCTAAAATCAAATGTAATTCATCTATCAATCAGCACAACTGTTAGCAAACCCAAAGATCTTGAACTGTATGTGAAGGATGATATTTCAGGTACGGAACAGCAGCAGCTTTCAAGAATTTCAGTTTGTAAAGTTCCAGATCCACTTTCCACAAATTTCCAAAAGTGTAATCACATAATGTAGATTTCCAAATCTAAAATAGAGTCTGTTAGTTGTTTCCCTCAAAGTCCCATATGTGAAATACATAACACAGTTAAAAATCTTAATAGAAGAATGAAGTAATTTTTAAAATTTCAAGCTTTTTCTGAGCAGCAAATCCATTAAATGACCAACTTCATAAAAGCAGAAAAAATTTTTCATCTGTGATCATTAGTGTTTTCTTGCAACATATAAAAATGGCTATAAGCAAAGGCACTGTCATTCTAAAAAAAAAAAATTAATTTCAGGTCAGCTTATACATCCTAAAAGCGGAGACGGAGCATTCCAATTACTCATTCCAAGGACTAAGACATCAGTGATCTGTCTTTGCCCAGGGCAAGCAGCATCCAAGCCTAAGGTGAAGCAAAAAGAACATGGCACCGGAAGCAGGGAAAAAGAAGTTGATGACCAGCAGGTCTCCACTGCCTTCACTTCAGAGTTCAGCTCTGCCCTGGCTGCTTCTGGCAGAGGTCAAGTCAGAATTCAGGACAGAACTCCCAGTAAGCGTGGTTGAGCTCAGTGTGGAAGTTCAGAGGAAGCTGGCAGAGGAGTTGGCAGAGGCACAACTACGGTTATTACTTCAGCAATGCAATTATCATGGGCAGCTTCAGCTGAATACATTGGAATAAAACATTTCTTATGAACAAAACTCACCTCACATGTAAATAATCCATCTCCCCCAAATGGAAAGACACTGCTTTGATTAAGCAATGATACAGGCACATGATAAGCATCACTGAAAGCCGGTTAAAACAGCATTAGGAAGAAAGGCATTGCGGTGCTAACGGAAACAAAGATTTTACAGAAAACTCGGTAAACAGCATTGCAAAACCGTGTAGGAAATTAACCTCGCTAATCTAGTATTTACAGATCAGCTGGATACAGCTGCACAGCAGAAAGCTTAGCACGACCTCCACCCTGGTGCCCTGAAAATTATGGTGAACTATAAAACTACAGGTGCTCTCCATTTTATATGCCTTCCAACAAAAGAGCTACAAGAACCCTCAGAGAATGAATACAGTTCCAGCCTACTGCTGGCAGAGCTGTCTCACCATCAAAAATCACATATGCACACTAAATGGCATCCACACAAAACACATGCAATGACTCTCTCATTTCTTTTCTCTAAGGTTGCAGGACATTTTCAGCAGAAATCTACCAACTACCTGAAAAAAACGGGATAAAAAGTGAGACCCACAGCAGCAGGAAGTAAAACACTGTAACCTGGAGCTTTTAACAGGTCTTCAACCGTACGGGTGGAGATGTTTACAAGACAGCCTCCAACATACCCCTGCAGCATGCACTTTTGGTGCATTTAACATTAAAAGTGCAGAGCTGGGAGATCTGCAAATTAGAATTCCCGTAACATCAAACTGCTTCACTCGACATGCTTCAGCAATACCATAGCATCAGCTTGCAGGTATTCCTGAACAAATAGTTCAAAATAATGCAGGAATTTCAAACCTGTCCACGTGCTGGGCATGCCAGGCCACCTCAGCCGCGCCAGCCAGCAGTCTGGGAAACATCCACACAGCTCCATTTGCTCAGGTGGTGCTAGCCCAGCGACACCCGCCCCCCACACCCACAAGGTGGCTTTTCCTTGTGTGTTGTCTCAGCATGTTTGACACCATCACACCCAAACTGGCATTTTGTTATCAGATCTCCAAGTGGTCAAAGCAATTTTAGTGTTAACAACTATGCCAGAAGGATTCATTTTTACTTCAGAATATGAGACTATAATGGCAAAGTACACAAAGGGAAAAAAGGAGGAAAAAATAGAAAAACTGGATCTCATGTATTTAAAGAGTGAAAAAATCACGATTGTAGGTTTCAATGTTGTATTTTGTTATATGAAAGGAACAAAAATTATCCCAGATTTTAACTAATGTGAGCTGTTAGTACGAAAAATAAAAGCATACAATACCAGAACAGCTGTGCTCATAGTCATGCTGACTGTCTGGCAACCTACAGGTAGTATTTGTTACTAACTCAGTAGGCAAATCTAAAGCAAAAAGGAGCCTTCAGCATATGGTCTGAAATTGAACATAATGTGTGGGTGAAAATAAAATGTAATAAAATGTAAACTGGGGCTTCGGCAGAGTTCTTACTGCTTCAGGCAATAAGCACAGCCAATGCTCTTTAAATACTTCTCATTGCCCTCTCTTTTTAAACACTCACTGATGACCCAAATTAAGAGGATGCAGCTGGTCTTGAAAAGCTCAGTTTTCACTGGCTTTACTCAAATGAGCTACACTATGCTTCAAAAAGAAAAAGAAGTCACATAATTGCAACAGGCAATACACATTTCAGTTTCATGCAATACAACCTCTCACACTATGCAATACACTGAAGGAGGAAAATTTGTCTAACAGCAATAGATAATCATTAATCAGTGTATGTTTCAACTGCAGATAATCATGTCACAAAGAGACTTTGAAGACTGGGATTTAGACATCCACTTTCTATCCAGATTTCACTGAACTCAATATTGAAATCCATCTTTAAAAATCATGCCTTGAATCCCCAAACAGCTCAGGATATGTGGATTTGGATTTCACAAAACTGGTGACAGCAATGCCAGCTACAACTTTGTATTTACGCAGGCAACTCCACTTCCCTAAAACTAGATACACTAACCAAATCATTACCGTTAGAGTAATGCCTTAGGATAGACTGCCCTCAGGAGGCCAAAATGGAATCTCTTCATGGGTTACCACACGCTAACACACTCGGCGTGCACTAACTCAGCACACTTTACATCCTTCTGTTACCATAAAAGAAAGTCTGCAAAAGTTATTCCTTGCAACAGCTCCTGCTTACGGCTGCAACGTTTAAACAAAACCAAAACAAAATGAACCCACCTCACCAACATTTATGTGTCCCGCTAGAAACTTCTACTGGTGGTAATCAATTGCAATATAAGCCTCAAAAGCAGGAAAAGACAAACACAGTGAGTTCACTACAGCAAGCTCTAAGTTACAAACACATGTCTTAAGAGATAAGCAAAAGTAAGGCTTCAATGACCTATCTAGGAGAAAAGAGAAGCAAAAGTAGTCCAGCATCTTCCCAAACACTGGAAAAGTGAAGAAATACAAAACGTTTAACTTCCCAGGCCTACAATGTGCTCCAGGGATTAACTAAAGCCCAGAATGTGCAAATCACACTATCTATAAAGTTTAAACTGAATCAAGTTTGAAGTCAACAGAAGAACAGTTTTAGGTTTGCAAACTTGGCAGTGACAAGGTAGGGCACATAAAGGAGTAAATACTGCAATACACGATCTTCTTTTAGCAAGGATATCCTTTCTGAAGCAGGAGCCCAGCTGAGTTAAAAAAAACGCAAAGCAATAGCTATGGATGAGTCAGAAGGGGGGATTGCTGTACAGGAGGGCTGCATGCTGAATTAAATGACAGCTGCAAAAGCAGCCACCATCAAAACATGCCTTGATAGTTTCTCTATACATAAAGAGAATAAGGTATAAATATCAGTCACACGGGGTGGGGCAGGAGAAGAGATCTGAAATAAAACGTAGATGTAAGTTAAAGACCAGACCTGGATAGCAGCCGTCTTTAAAATGTTCCCAAAGCTAGATGATGAGGCAAAGTTTCAACGCATGCCTGAAAAAACAGCTGTAGGAAGAGGAGTACAGATTCCTTAGGAACTGCAGAAACACGGAGGAGTGGGAATTTGTAAAATAGTTCATTCTAAACCAAAAAGAACTAGGAAGATGTTGGTACTTAACAAAAGATCATAGGAGCGTTTTCAGCAATACAGCAGGTGAAGAAACATCAGATGGGTAAGAGCACACGCTCTCCCACTAGGAACGGTACCACAGAAACTTTGCAGGTCTAATAAGAGAGCGGACTGAAGTTTTCAAAACTCAGCTGAGAAATCATGGTCAGTCAGTCAAGCACACAGTCCTACTCGAGAATGAACACCCACGTGCAAAAAACCCCCAAACATTTATATATAGCTCAGCATAAATGCTACCAGCACAAGGTGTAAATCCCAAAAGTCTTGTTTTTAATCAAGGACAGTGACATAACAAGCATGGCAGAAATATGATGGAAGCAAAACAAATACGCAAGATATTGATATGAAATATCAATTATTTTGTATGCATTTGATTACTAAATATCAATACCATGATATCAAACTAAATATCAATATATTGATCAAATCAAACTCCACACGGATTGAATCTCCAGGCCCAATAAGGTAAACACTGGTTTTAGACAGTATTATTATCCATGCAATTAAGATGATGGCAGCAATTATGACATCCAATGACTGTAAGAGCCAGTAATGTAACTGTAATGAAAGACAGTAATTACCAGCAGGTTGGGTAAACGTCACACCAAAGAGGCCAAGATCACTTATTTAATATTATTTTTTTCATGCAGCCAGTGAGGGACACCCCTGTCTGGCTGCAGTCCCTGGGAACATACAAGACCCGAGTCAAAATGCTATTTTTAAAGACTGACTTTGTGATGGTAACTTTTATTTCTGCAAGAATACTAACCAAGTTTATTAATAAAGACAACAGTTCACTACTGCAGACTTCTATAAAAAAGGAACAACATAAAATAAGGGAATATGCTAAAATGAAACCAAAAAGACAAGTCAAAAAAATTAATGCTAGAAGACAACACTAAGACTGTATGCACTGAACTTCAGTATGACAACTGGAAATACACATGCCAAATTAAAACTTTTTTTTTTTGTAAGGAGGGGGAAGCTGGCATGGTTTAAAAGCTACTAGAATTTAAAAGCCAACCTTTGTCAAACCAGCAGTCTGGCTGTAGCAGTCAAATGGAATCTGTCACTGAATGCAAATTACAGGCAGATCAGAGTGTAGAGGAGCAATTTGCAAAAGTGCATACAAACTGAACACCATCTTAGGAACAGGTACTGTGCCTGAGTACCATCAGCCAAGCAGATGATCAAAATAAAAAGCAAAGTGCTCTGGGAAGGCAAGGCCACAGAGGAAAAAAAAAAAACCAAAACAAACCCCAAACTCTGAACAAAGCCCTACATCAGGTTTTGGTACCATGCAGGAACTTGAGCAGAACCTCTACTAGCAACTCACTGAAGATTTTACCCCTTGGAGCAAAGCATCAGAAGAGGTTACAGAGGAAAGGGTGACAAGTGGCTGTGGCTGGGGGCTATCCCTCCCAAATTCTAAAGGAAATCAAGTAACTGCAGCATGCACCTTCTGGATTAAAACCGCCTCGTTGTCAAATGACTGGAAGCTGACAAAAGTGACAGCAAGCTTTGGGGAGTTTTGTGGGTGGAAGCATCACTTGTTTTTTAAGAAGACATTCCAGAGGGATCCAGGGAACTACAGATTAATGATCTTTTTCTGTACATTGCCAACTGCCAGAAATTGTTCTAAAGCCATGAAAACAACTGAATAAACATCCTGAGGAAAGTCAGTGCTGCTTTTGCAAAGGGAAGTCAAGTTTGATAAACATTTGAGAGTTCTTCTAAAGACTAAAAAGATATGAGAGTAAAGAGATGAGAGTAAGGAGATCTAATACAGCATGCTTGAAGTTCTAAACAGCATCTGACACATTCCCTTGCCAAAAATCATTAAAGATGCTGTGCTGCCAAGAGAAGAAGTTGTCATTCAGTAAATTGCTGAAAGACAGAAGAGAAAGGTTACGATCAGCAGTCATTCTTTCCTAAGGACAGGGATCACCAACAGAACGCCACAGGCACCTATGCTGGGGCTAGCAAAGTACAACCTATTCATAAGAGTTCAGAGACAGCAATTTCTGAAGGCCACAGTATATTCCAGTAGCACTAAGTTACTCAAAGTAATAAAGGGATAAAGGAATTAAAAAATTGCAGAACCATTTCACTGAGGAAACAGGTCTTAAAAACGAGCAGGCTAAACTCACTGTAGATAAATGAGAACAATTCACACTGGGGAAAATACAAAAAATTAGTCCTAAATACATACATAAAGAAACAGACTCCAAGTTGACTATTATTTAGGACTGAGTTACTGTTCTTACATAGCTTATGAAAACCTAAGTGTAAAGGTTAGGAAAAGGCAAAACAATTAGGCATTATTTTGGGAAGCAATATAAAACAAAACAAAACATCCTAATCTTTTATTAGATAAATCCATAATGAATACTGTGAGCGGTTCCACCCACTCCTCCCTCCTTGAAAAGCTGGAAAAGTAAAGGATCACAAACATGACATAAGGTACAAAAGAGCTTCCCAGCAACAAGCAACTAAAAGAAATACGACTCTTCAGTTTGAAACAGAAACAACTGGGGCAGGCAGGATATGACAGAGGCCTACAAATCCCAAGAGCGACAGAGCAAGCGCACAAGAGGGTTGTTATAACATCCCATCAGATGGAAGAACCTGCAGGCCTCAACCAGAGCTATCAAATGGCAGATTCAAACATATCCACCCCAAATGGCTGGAGGTACAAGAGTCTGTCAAGGAGACATCCCCACACACTTGGTCTGTTACCCAGCCTACGCATTCACACCTTCCACTGTCTGAGACATCACACCAGGCCAGACAGAACCCTGGTCTGACAGACAGATACCACTTCTTAGAACAGATGTAGACAGTAAATGCTGAAGTGGATTATTACTGTTTATAACTAGTTTTCAGTTCTAATTTACCAGTTTGAAGAAAAGGGGAAAAAAAGGTCTTTTAAAAACATGATTCTAAGGCTACCCACACTTCAGTCTGGTCCTATAGCAACAGCAGTAATAAAAACATAGTATGTACTGCAACATTTTTTAAAAAATTACTTAGCAGCATGCCGAGATTCTTCTGAGGGTGTTATTCCAGGTTTTAATCACAAATATAAACTAAAAATGGCATTGCTAGTAACTTACTTAACAGTGCCCTTACCCAACAAAACAAGGGATAATAATAATTAGGGACAGAATTCAGTAAGAGGAAATTATTTTTAGTCTCTTGAGTTTGGCTTCTGGTCAAGGTATGTCACGCAGGCTTTGCCTGTAAAATACTAAGGACAAATACAGGCAGCAGCCAAGTTACTGACATTTTACTACTTGACTAGTAAAAATGGAGTACCAGCTGTCCTTCCTCACCTTCAGTGCCCTCAGAAAAAATTCATCTATTCTCTGGCCAATTCCTCCTATCAAAGAGAAACACAATTAGCAATTATATTTTTGGTGCAAAGACACATATGACACACAACTTTTCACAGCAAATAATGCCACCTCTCTGCAAAGTGGTATTTTACACTCCAAAGTGAGTAACACAACCAACTGTAAAATCCCCTGAACATACAATCAATCCTTGGATTATTTCTCAATACATACCTGTGAGAAGCTTGAACGTGCAATGTTTTCTGGCACAGAGACAAGATTTGTCAGCTGCACAAATGAAGAAAATCTCAGACTTTAAAGACTCAAAGTTATCATCAGTGAGATCTTTTCTTTCTGTACTTTGGTTTATGCAAAGACAGGAAGTAATTTCAAAAGCAGAGTCAACATCTGGATCATGATGCAATGAACACTGGAGCTAAGAAGTGAAGGTCCTAAACCACATCCATCGTTTTCTTCAGAGATGATAAAAACATCAATTACCAAAAATTACTTGATGTCAGTAGAAAAGCCTGAGGTTAAATTTTTGGTAATTTTTCAGCAAGATAGGAACACTCAGGATCACTTACAGCTGAATAATTACTCTGCTTCAAAAGCTACTTTGCATAAACTAAATGGCTGTTTTATTGACTATACATACATCTTGCCAGTTGAACTGAGCATTCAAGAAGATATAGAGCAAAGCACCTTGACTTCACACTTTGGAAGTGACAGTGTTTTCTGAACACCTACGGAGCCAGTGAAAAGTCTTTTATGCAGCAAGGTTTGCAACTGCACTGTTCACCAGTGTATGTGCAGCTCAAACTCAGAATATTATAGAATTAGCAATGCCAGTGACCACTCAACAGTCCTTCAATGTATACACACAAGCGCTACTGGATTAAGTGAGTGCCGTGCATACATTCAAGAATGGAACTGAGCAGGTTTTGTCTTTATAAAAACACACTGCATATAATTAAATCTCCTAAAGGCAATCCAGGTATGCCAAAGATCTAGAAGTTCCTAGCTTTGTAGTGTTAGCTACAAACAAACAAAAACCAGAAGGGAACTCCTTGCCACTTTGTAGGGACTAACTGATAAAAATAAAAAATTATGCAGTTTGCAATCTTTGCCCTAAATGAAAAACTTGATGCAATCACACCTGCCAAGCAATAAAGGTGCCTCTGTACTTTATTAACCTTTGTGTAACATGATAATTCAGATAAAATCTCCACTCTATCCCAAAATGGAAAACATGGCTTTATAAAAATATAGTGCTTTTAAAATGTATCAGCACGTTATTTAAAACTATCACCATACCAAAACCAGATAATTTTCAAATTTTTACATATGCAGACTTCATGTCCAAATGGACTCCTTCAGGTAGCTAAACATCCACGCCGGACCTTACTGCTGCTGAATTTCTCTTCTGACTAAATAATATCAATTACAGACATTGACCTTCAACTCACTTCCACCCCTCTCCCTTTAATTACCATATATTTATATATTATCATAATGACATTATGTAGGTACTTATTCAAGGTAGTATTTAAGTACTTAAGTCAGAAGCTGCAAGCCTCCATCTACAACTAGAGTACTCCCTGTAACATAAGGGGACTCTAGAAGAAAGAGAACAGCTTGCGCAACTTCACGAGGCTCTCCAAATCTTCCAAGGAGAATTGCTTTCTTCAGTTGATCTTCTTCCAAATGAGCAGTCATCTCTGTGTGAATGAAGCCTAAGAGAGGAGAGATATTTGAAGAGTTACCCAACCTTCAACTAAATTTCTCTAGCGGATTTTTCCTGCAATCCTCCAAAGTGAAATCTACTACCAGGTTCCAGCACCAGCTACCGTTCCTCAAAGGCCACATCATTTGATGGCCAAGACAAATTTTTTACCTAACCAATAAAATGTCTTCTAGTTTTGGAAGCACTGATGTAATAATCAAAACGCAGTGACCTACAGAAGTTCATTTTAAAAAAAAAAAAAGGTAAGTAAAACTGGGTTTCAAAACTGTATTTAGTAGCACTTTTCTGAAAGACAGAATACACTCATTTCACCAAAACATTCTCAATAAAAACACGAGTATGAAATCTCTGGCAAGAAACCTCTACAGCTTGCAAGTGTTTCCACTATATTTTAGAACTTCTGACAGCATTTGCATAATTTCTATTAAAGCAGTCATCTGAAGAATATTTCTTGGCATTTTTGAAGGACATTTCTTTACAATTTTCACTTATCTGAGATTCAGTTTCCCCACTGCTGCACTTCTCTTCACATAAGCTGCAGCTTCATAAAGAGCTGATCTTATCTGCTTTCTAGCTGCCACCAAGAAGGGAAAGTCTCGGGTTTGCTTTCTGCCATACAACTCTGCCCTTAAGCAAGCTGCCCAACTCACTAGAGTCCTATTTTTCCTGCCTAGTTCACAAGCTGAACTGGTTCATGTAGAGGTCTGAAAGGCATCAGAGCTAGCACAAGGTGAGCAGCAGAGTACAGAGCTACAAGTCAAAGAAGTCAGAAAAGACAGAAGGGATTTTTCCTTAAGGGTAGTGGTTTGCTTGGACTAGATTGTCCTTGTCCTCACAGAACTTTCTTTCCAGACTCTCTCCTTTTACTACAGGGATAGACAGGCATGCTTTCATGCCAGCTTCTTGTGGTCTTTCCTGTTTCTCTAACAACAAATAAGCATTCTTCGGCAGGAAATGAGGGGAGCTGTTTGTCTGTAATTCATTCTAATCCTTCCATCTACAAGGACAGCAGGTTTTGAAGGAGGACAAAGAAAAAAAGGCACTTATTATGCAGTAACGGATAGAGGAACAGGTAGACACACTCTTCCAAATTTGTCAATGTTCCCTGAAGGTTTTGTAAAAGAATGTATTATACTTCAAACTGGAAAAAAAAAAAAAAAAAAGAGATTAAAAACATTTACTTACAAAAGTTGAAGAAAATAAGAGTAATTTGCCTTAAGTTACTTTCAGCATACAGCAAATATCTGGCAGTCTTGATGATCATATATTGCAACAGTCAAGGATGTAGGGACTTCCCAAAAACTAACCTGGAGCAACCACGTTGACTCGAATTTGCTTTTTTGCTACTTCTTTAGCAAGCGAGCGTGAAAATCCAACTAATCCTGCTTTGGTAGCACTGTATACGCTTTGACCAGAGTTGCCTTTAAGTCCTACAATACTTCCTAAAATAAAGAAAGGTCAAAGAGAAGAAAAGAATAAATGATTAATTTGAAACCATGCACTAGTTTTAAAATTTTATTGTTAAATTTGGAATGGAAAATGATGTTAAAAGAGAGGGAACTAAAAGAATATTACTGAATGTACTTCATAGCCTGCTGCTGGAATAAGAAATCCCTCAATTATCTGTGATTTTTGTGGAATCCAGATATCTCTGTTGACCAACAGGCACCAGGAGAGTAAAATGAAGAGCTTTCTAAAAAAGTATCCTTGCACAGGAAAAAAAAAAAAAAAGAAACCAACTGTGCCTATTTGATTCTTAGTTAATAACTAGGAGCTGGTACATTTACATACCAAAAGAGCTGATAAAGATGGTAAAATTATTTTTTCAATAAAATATAAACTCTGAGATGTTTATTACTAAAACAAGCTGGTTTTGCATTTAGAAGTTGCTGGAATTACACAAAAGAATCAGCATTTATAAAGAAATGCCAAATATAGAATGTCTAAGTACAAAGAAAATAGTCCATTTACACCTGCTAAACCTTTCTGGAAAACTATTACATAGAACTCCACTGGATTAGACAAGCAACTTACCTATATTGACAATAGCACCTCCTTGTTGTTGAATCATACTTTTTACAGCAGCTTTGCATGTCAACATTGTTCCCAAAAGGTTAGTGTGAATCTGGGCTATCATGTCTTCAGTCTTGGTTCTCAGTAACAAACCATCCCTGACAAACAGAACAAAAACCACAAAAGAACTCACTGAACAACCCCAATGATCATATTTACTCACAATAAAAGATGATTGATGAATGGAATATTAACAGGGATTTATATGGTTCTATACATTCTAGCATTCAAAATTATGACATTGCACGGACAACACAGAGCAAGAAGAAATTTAGCTATGCTTCTGGCAACAAAAGACTCCTTTGCAGAGAGGTATGAAACACTGGTTTGAACTATCTCAAGGTGAAGAAGTGGAAGAAAGAGGAGTAGAGGGGGAAGTCACAAACTCAGAATGCACAAACTACAGTGAAAGCTGTGTTATGTTAGAATTTTACCTTAATCAGGAACAAAATACTGGTAAGCGGTTAATACTGTTTTCAGATGTACTCAGTAACAATACTCTTAGTAAATGCAAAGGCCCTTAGCACTTTATAATAAGATGCAGTTATCGAGAATTACATATAATCTTGTAATGAATAACTAACCTGTTGATCCCAGCTGCATTAACCAAGTAGTTAACAGGACCTAAATTCCTTTGTATCTCCTCAAAAGTATTTTGGACTTCTTGTTCACTGGATACGTCACAGCTAAGTGCCAGATGTCCTGCTGTATTGAAATAAAAGCACAACATAACAATAGTAAAAGATACAATTCATAAACCTTCTTCAGAATTTATCAAGTCAATTGCTAAAACAGTTGTTGAACTAGTTGTAATTTGAGGAACTAAGTAAGAGCAGTCAAGTAGTTACGTGACAATTTCTTGTTATATATTTTGGCCTTTTGAAATCAGAAGTTCAGCATGAGCAGACTGGTCTCAGCTCTGGCTTGGTCAGGAGCCAAGGATGACTCAATCCATGCCACCTCCCTGCTGTGACCTTGAACAATTCCTTTCAGCTTACCTATTCCATCCGCAAAATATGAATTGTAACATACTTAACTTTCCCAAAGAATACTGTGAAAAGAACATTGTAGTGATATAGCTTTTCTTTCAAATTTCTCTGCCTTTACTTTCATTTTCACCTAGTTAAACAATGAGGTTTATTTTATGACTTACTACAAGTTACCTAAGCATTAGACAGCGAAGAAAGCACTGTAAAGCAGCATACTTACCACCAAGATTACGTGCAGTGGTTTGGGCTACTTCCAGATTTCTAGCAATAATCGCCAGGCGGCAGCCTCTCTGTGCCAGTAATTCCGCAACAGCTTTTCCTATTCCTCGGGATCCTCCAAAAATTGCACAAACCTTGGCCATCTTCAAAAATAATACACAAACTGCAAATAAACTATGAATTTCAGGTCCAACATAGCAGAGAATAATTACTATTCTTGTCAACACCAGGGCCCTTACTAGCATTTTGTAATAACGGATTACAGAATTAGTGATTAGTTAATTTTTTATTCACCAAAAATAAATACATGAACTAAACTAGACACCACTTCTGCAAATGCAAGTTAATTCTTAATGATTTCTGAACTAGTACAAAAATTATGCATGTAATCTAGCATTTCAATACTAGAGTTACGATAACTCCTATTCAGTTGATGAAATACGCGATTTACGTATCTAAAGGCCATAATGTATTGTAGTAGTTGTAATTATATCGTTCTTGCAAGCACTATTCTTGCCCTAAAGTCATTTCGCCTCAAGGTCTCACTCAGTCCTAAGTATCTGTGTTGGACATCCACATTGCAAACACTATGGAGCATGATTTGATACTACTGTATTTACACTAATAATACCAAGTTACACTACATAATACTATGTTTTACCACTAGCCTTAGGATTTTTTTGTTTCTGCTTTTGAAGAAAAAGCAGCTTTTTGAAAGGCAAAATGATTCTGAAGTAGCTAGCTTAGGTGTTTAGAAAGGAGCTTAAGGAAAAAGTACTTCTGTAGAATCCTCTTTTATTCTGTGACCTCTAGAAACCAATCAGCTGTTACGGGATTTCCTGAGGAGCCAGAGGCAGAATCCAAGCAACAGTAATGAACCTCTTTTCCATACATTTGAATAAATCCTTTCTGAACCCAATTATACTTTGTCTCCCTAGCATCCTGAGGCAACGAGTTTCATTATTCATGGAAAAGTGTTTCCTTTTGTTCTTAATTTGCTTTCTGATTAGAGAATACTATGCATTTCTCCTCATATCTTCCCCTTACTGTTTGTAACTTCAGAGTTACAAAGAGTCACAAACTCTTCTGCATTTTGCCCTCCCCCTATATCCTCTTTCAGGACTACTTAGTTACTCTTACACAGATGGAAGCCATTCTCTACCTCACTAAAGACTGTCCAAGCTCTTTATCCTGCCACGCTGCCTTTGCCTCCTTTAGGTCTATTATACCCTTTTGATGTGTGAAGAGCACACAGTGTTAAGCATACAAGGACACCATCGACTCATACAACGGCATAATGATTTTGGTCTTCTGTGGCAGGGCCTGGGAGAGCAGACAGCCCTTTTCTGTAACAAGGTAAGCGTAAGTGCTTGGAATCAACCCATGTGTCTGCTTCTGCTGGCAAGTTTAAATCAGCTTCCTAGGAATAGGGAGAGGATCAAATACTTGTATCTCAGGCGGGGGCCCTTTCAAAAGAACATGTACAAGAAGATGTCCTGCCTGGAGACGCTTCCTTAATGATAAAAACAGGCACCACTGCCTCGCCAGAAAGACTGATCTTTTGGGCAGTCTTCATTAGGTAGCTAGATGCAAGAAATGAATCAAGAAGGTTTGCACCCCAGAAACTACAGCTCTTACTATCATAGCAGACTAAAGGCACAACGCATATTTTGTTGCCAGTTTTTTTTGTTAGAAACAAAGTCCCAGTCTGTCATGACTGATCTCTTCTTTTACAGAATTACCACAATGACTCTTGGAAGTTCTTGCCTACTTGTTGCAGCAATGTTATAGTAGGATTTCCTCCTTTGTATTTTGTTCTTACCAGCACTGAGCATACCTACTCCTTTATTTTTATTTGAAACGAGGAATAATATAGATTAGGAGAGATCTCTGGTCTTGTCTAACTCCTCTGCCCCTAAGCAACATCAGGTGAACCATCTTATGCTGTTTATAAATGCCGTCAGACCTAGATGTATTTTCCAAACAATTCTGAACATGCTTAGCTACACAGGACCCCAAAAGCTGCCTGTGGGGTGAGAACTTCTTTAAAATGGATCATTCTACCCTTCCTGGTCTCTTTGAGAAGGGGAAAAAAATCTTAATGATTCTACCGTTCTCGGAAGGAATAGGGACAGTTCCTTGTGCATTAACCAGGTATTTATGGGGGGGGAGGGGGCATAAGGCCTACTTCCAACGCAGCAATATACAGCTTGTGTTTCAGCCCAGAAGAGCCATACGGATTCTTTGGAGTTGCGACTTGGGAGAGGAAAAAAACCCAAACCCAACAAAACTGCAACAGTAGTAATAACCCTTTATGCTCTGGTTAAATAAAGGTAGGAAAAAACACGTATCTTTTGAGCAACGGGCTCTCCTAGGCCGCCGCGCAGCACACACAAGCGCCCGCACCACCTTTGTCCTCCACAGCCCCTCCTTCGGCACACACCGTT